CAAAAAGCCTGTGTTTTTAGGGTTATTARCGAAGTTTTTGTACTCAGACCAGTAATATTTGGGGTCAGAAGTTTTTGCCATGGATATTTTGTGGGTCAGAAGATAAAAAGTTTGGGAACCACTGCCCTAGTCTATTATAGTAGCAAAATAAATGTTTTATAAACTGATAAAAAGGCAGTACAGACCTTGTTTTCACATCAAGAATTGGCACTAAAATCCTGTTTTTTAATTCGGATATTTTGAGTTGTTAAATGAAGTTGATAGGGCGTCATATTGAAGTGTCTCAAAGGCCAAGTCTCATCTTATTTTGTCCATATGCATTATATAAACGCAGACCTTTCACCTTGTGTTGCACAGTATACAACTTGACATCCACATATTTAGCCCTAAAACGTTTTAAACTTTTTCTGCGTCCTACATCAACATCGCCTTTAAAATTGTCAAAAATCTGAGAAATTAAGTTTGGAAAAGTCTGGAATCTTGAAGCCCGTAGGAACCTTGTGTGTGGCAGGTCTATCAGGCTGTGGCTCGGGTGACACAGCGTGGCACGCTGAATATAGGTCACTCTAATTTTAAACCTAATTCCTGGCATAGACACAACTTTTGGCCTTACTGTCTGCAAAGTACATGACCCAAATGGTGCTAAGACACTTCAGGAGGCTGCAGCTCAGATGCTAAAAGCCATAAAGATTTTAAAAAAATGATTAGACTGAGAAATCTAGACTACTCACAGATCTGGAAGTGAGAAATGCAATGAATCAGAGATTTAGATTAAAATATCCTGTTTTCCTTATCATTTTGTTTTGTCCTAGCTGAACAGATTGTGTTCTTCTGTTTTTGTTTTTCTTGCAGAATAAGGCTGACTGTAAGATTGTGAAAGCAATCTGTGATGTTTTGGTGATTATACACAATAAAGTCCTTTTGCACTTCTTTTCTTGTTTTTTTTCCTTCTATCTCCAAGACGAGCCAACCCGTTCACTCAGTGGACTGATACTGAAGAACAACGTGAAAGCTCACTATCAGAATTTCCCAAATGGCGTTTCTGAGTTTATCAAAAGCGAGTGCCTCCAAAACATCGGAGATGCATCCCCCCTCATCAGGGCCACAGTGGGTGAGTTCCATCCATTGGTTCACTGTATGTGACATCTTTTCCATCACTCGTTAAAAAAGTGTTTTTGATGTGCTTGTTGACTTTACTGTCGGTGTTGCTGCAAAATGTCAGTGTGTTGAAAGCTAAACACTGAAGGTTTGTCGGAAAAACTTTTTGCAGCTGCAGTTTAATGCACATAAACGGAGAGAATAACTGCCAAAATAGCCTAATAATAGGTTAATTCATGTGAATGTTGGATGAAGTTAATATTACATTTATGGACATAGATATTGATTTAGGATAGGAGTCCAAATTTTGCATCATACTTGTTTCTTCAGAATTCTGCTTTTCTTTCATACTTGCAGAAATAAATAAACTTTGTGCCATCAGATTATAGTAGAGGAACATTTTGATCATTTCCTGTAATGTTTAGTTTTATTTAAATAAGCTACAAAGTCATTTAAATTGAAATATAGTGATTTTCAGTATTTAATGCACCTTTTCCTTAGAGTTCTAAGGAACTACACTCACCGGCCACTTTATTAGGTACACCTGTCCAACTGCTCGTTAACACTTAATTTCTAATCAGCCAATCACATGGCGGCAACTCAG